GAAAACAAAAGAAAAGCAAGGGAAGAGGCATGGCAGCAATCCAAAATATCTCGGACTAACCACCTTGAGAAAAATGGAGCCTAGAGAGGCTCCATGCGAAAAATAGGCTCCCGGGAGAAAATCCGAGCAAAGGTGGTCACAATTTGGAAGAAAGGGAAGCGAAAGGAGGCTCCCTTGGGCATGGGGGAGCCTCAATTGCAGTCCAAGAAATAACGGACTGCACATTGGGCATAGGAAGGACCAAAACTAAGAGGAAGGGCCTAGAAAAGGCCTTAAAACAAACATTTCGTTAAAATTGACATTTTTTACTATTTTCACGAAATTGAACTCCCAAAAAAAGCACAGTATTTTTTGGCATTTTTTTGCGCCGACCACATTAGACCATTGATGGTCAGGACGCCGGACCATCTGATATGCCTCGATTTTTTTTCTTTTTTTTTTGACCCTTGAACGTATTTTGACGGTACTTTACGACGAGATACATCAGATGGTCCGGAGTCCCCAGGACGCCGGACCATCAATGGTCCGATGTCTTGGGCACAAAAACACACTAAAAAACTCAGTTTTTTCTTGGATGCCCAATTTCGTGAAAATAGTAAAAATGTCAATTTTAACGAAATGCTAGTTTTAATGGCTAGTTGACACTTGGCATGCTAGAAAAAGAAAGAAAAAGAAAAGGGTGGGAGACTAAGACAAAAGGAGTGAGAGGGAGTGAGTGAGTTGGCCGTCAGTAGAGACTGCCACAAGTAGGGACTGGCAGGTCCCTACTATTCGAAAAGGGAGGAAAAAGAAAAGAAAAGAAAAGGGAAAAGAAAAGAAAAGACAAAAAGGTAACAAACGATCACTTGGGGAGACATATTCGTGACCAGATGCATTCTGGATATGGCAGTTGCAAAAGATTTTGATTTTCTCTTGATTTTGCAGAGAAAGTAGAGGAAAATCAAAGCCCCATGCAACCGAGATACGTCGGATTGCATGGGGGAGGAGAAACACATGTTTCAGATGCATCCGGAGCCAATATTGAGTCTGGATGCACTTGGGAGTTGACCGTTACATTTGGTTTCAGTTTAAAGCATGTTGTGGGGCCATGGGGCTAGGAAAAAGGCCATTATGGCAGTCCGAGAAATAACGGACTGCCTGGGGGTGCCTAGGCCAAAAGGAAAAGAGCCTTGCCTCACCCAAGACACTAGAAAAGAGTGTCTTTGGCTTGGGCAAATAAAAACGATAAATGGGGACCGCGAGATGGTGGATCTCGCCACCTAGAATATTCGCGACACTTTAGACTCATGAGAGGAAAGGATTGGGGTTGCCAGGGACAAGGAAGTCCCCCGAAAAAACGGGACATCGTCGGGAAAGATACCGGGGGCTAGATGACCCGAAATAAAAATAGTCGAAATTTGGGACACATGCCGACGGAACCACCGTTGGAACTAAAAAATGGGACTGGCATGGGAGAATGGCGGGGATTTGAGTAGTCCCAAGGGAACTATGAGTTAGCAAAAAGGGAGGAGCGGGCAAGCAAGTAGCACCGTCAAGATCAAGATCTTGACGACGGGAAATATTAGCCACTGTGAGTGCAAAACTGAAAGAGCCTAAGGAGAGAATGCTAGGAGGCAAAAATGAGAGAAAAAGGGTGAAGGAGGGGTTTCCCAGTAGTTCGAGATATCTCGAACTAGCAAGGCACAAGAACATAGAGCCTCAATGGGCTCTATGCAGAAATAAGTTGTCAAGGGAAAATTGGAGCACAAAGGGGCTCAAAAATGAAGAAACGGAGGCAAACGGGAGCCCCCATGAGCATGGGGGCTTCATTATTGCAATCCGAGTTGCAACGACCAACTGTTGGCTATGAACTTGGCCATGAATGAGGTTCTAAAAAGAGGGTGCACAACAGCTTGACACTTGTCACAACAGAAATAAAAGAAAAAAGGCAAGAAAAATAGGAGAAAAAGGAGGGAGGATGAGCCAAAAAGGAAGAAAAGAGTGGAGGAGAATGTGTCGGCTAGTTGGGGGCAGCACTATGCGCTCATCTTCACACGTACTTATCCTTCTATGCACCCCCAACTTCGTCGACGGATGACGAAGTCGTCGTGGGGGACATCCTTGCGTATGTTACCAAGGTGGCCAGCGAGTTTCGCAATCAGCGGTACGACGACAACAATGCACCGCTCCTCTATGTCCGCATCCAAGATGGGCAGGCGTCTTGCAGCGCTTTGCTGGATAGCGGCGCGTCTCACAATTTTATGAGCCAAACCTTTATGCAAAAAGGTTGGCCTTGGCGCACAACTTCGAAGGCAGGCAAACCCGAAGGCGATCAAGTTGGCGGACGGAAGGACGCAACAACTTATCGACCGCTACATCGAGGCCGTACCATTGTATTTCGCACCTCATGCATGCGAATCGGTGACATTTGATATTTTGGACACAGACTTCGACATTATTTTGGGAATGCCTTGGCTTGCAAGTGCGGATCACACGGTCAACTTCCACCGGCGGACTCTTACGCACCCTTCGATTCGGTGCCAAGTGGTGACGACCAAATTATTCCGGGCTACTTGTGCTTAGGAGCAGCCCGACGAAATCGGCCTATGTTTCCTACGGACGGTCGCGGTAGCCGACTCTTCACCCACGAACTTGTCTTCGGACCCTCGTGTGGTGCGGTTGCTTGACGAGTTCGCCGACATCTTCGCATCACCTACCGGTGTGGTGCCGGATCGACCGATCTCTAACGAGATCATTCTTGAGGCCGGTGCCGTGCCGCTGAAAGGTTGCATTTATCACATGAGCGAGGAGGAGCTTACGGTCCTCCGTGTGCAACTCGATGATTTGTTGGACAAGGGTTGAAGCCGCCCTAGCAGCTCTCCATACGGAGCGCCAGTTATCTTCGTACGGAAGAAGAACAAAGATCTACAATTGTGCATCGACTACCGCAAGCTCAACGCGCAAACCGTAAAGAATGTGGGGCCTCTTTCTCGCATCGACGATCTTCTTGAGCGATTGGGCGGCGCAAAGTATTTTTCTGAGTTGGATTTGAAGTCGAGATATCATAAAATCTCGATCTGACCAAACGATCGTTACAAATCCACGTTCAAGATGCGGTATGGGCATTTTGAGCGGGTGGTCATGCCTTTTGGCCTCACCAACGCCCCGGCGACCTTTCAAGCAGCAATGACCAACGAGTTTCGTGCAATGTTGGACCGGTTCGTGTTGGTCTACTTAGACGATATTCTTGTCTATAGCCGGTCATTGGAGGAACATCTTGAGCACCTTCGACGCGTGTTGGAGACGCTCCGCCGCGCCAAGTACAAGGCCAACCGCGACAAGTGCGAATTTGTCCGACAAGAGCTGGAATACTTGGGCCATTTTGTCACACCAGAGGGCATCAGTCCGCCATCCGACAAGATTCCAGCCATCCAAGAGTGGTCGGAGCCACGGAACATCACGGATATCCGTTCGTTCCTTGGCCTCGCCGGCTACTACCAGCGTTCTATCAAGGGCTACTCGAAGATCGTGGCCCACTTGACCAAGCTTCAATGAGAGGATCGACTGTTTGACTTCGGAGAGGATGCGCGGGAATCATTTTTGGCTCTCAAAGTTGCTTTATTATCTGCGGAGGTCTTGCGCATATATGACCCGCTTCTGCCTACACGCGTCACTACGGATGCGTCCGGCTATGGCATTGGAGCCGTCCTCGAGCAACACGATGGCGTGGACTCACACCCGGTCGAGTATTTCCGCAAGAAAGTGTCCGTCGTGCACTCCATTGACGATATTCTCGTCTATAGCGGCAATGACCAATGAGTTCCACTACGTACGTGTCCAACTATGGCATTGGTGTCGTCTTCATGCCTTTTGGCCTCACCAACGCCCCGACGACCTTTCAAGCGGCAATGACCAACGAGTTTCGTGCAATGTTGAACCAGTTCGTGTTGGTCTACTTAAACGATATTGTCGTCTATAGCCGGTCATTGGAGGATCATCTTGAGCACCTTCGACGCGTGTTGGAGACGCTCCGCCTCGCCAAGTACAAGGCCAACCGCGACAAGTGCGAATTTGTCCGACAAGAGCTGGAATACTTGGGCCATTTTGTCACACCAGAGGGCATCAGTCCGCCATCCGACAAGATTCACGCCATCCAAGAGTGGTTGGAGCCACGGAACATCACAGATGTCCATTCGTTCCTTGGCCTCGCCGGCTACTACCAGCGTTCTATCAAGGGCTACTCGAAGATCGCGGCCCACTTGACCAAGCTTCAATGAGAGGATCGACCGTTTGACTTCAGAGAGGATGCGCGGGAATCATTTTTGGCTCTCAAAGCTGCTTTATTATCTGCGGAGGTCTTGCGCATATATGACCTGCTTTTGCCTACACGCGTCACTACGAATGCGATCGGCTATGGCATTGGTGCCGTCCTCGAGCAACACGATGGCGTGGACTGGCACCCGGTCGAGTATTTCCGCAAGAAAGTGCCCGTTGTGCACTCCATTGACAATATTCTCGTCTATAGCGGCAATGACCAATGAGTTCCACTACGGATGCGTCCGACTATGGCATTGGTGCCGTCCTCATGCCTTTTGGCCTCGCCAACGCCCCGGCGACCTTTCAAGCGGCAATGACCAACGAGTTTCGTGCAATGTTGGACCGGTTCGTGTTGGTCTACTTAAACGATATTCTCGTCTATAGCCGGTCACTGGAGGATCATCTTGAGCACCTTCGACGCGTGTTGGAGACGCTCCGCCGCGCCCAGTACAAGGCCAACTGCGACAAGTGCGAATTTGTCCGACAAGAGTTGGAATACTTGGGCCATTTTGCCACACAAGAGGGCGTCCCATCCGACAAGATTCAATCCATCCAAGAGTGGTCGGAGCCACGGAACATAACGGATGTTCGTTCCTTGGCCTCGCCGGCTACTACCAGCGTTCTATCAAGGGCTACTCGAAGATCGCGGCCCACTTGACCAAGCTTCAATGCGAGGATCGACCGCTTGACTTCGGAGAGGATGCGCGGGAATCATTTTTGGCTCTCAAAGCCACGTTATTATCTGCGGAGGTCTTGGGCATATATGACCCGCTTTTGCCTACACGCGTCACTACGGATGCGTCCGACTATGGCATTGGTGTCGTCCTCGAGCAACACGATTGGCGTGGACCGACACCCGGTCGAGTATTTCCGCAAGAAAGTGCCCGCCGTGCACTCCATTGACGATGCACGCAAGAAGGAGCTCCTCGCCTTCATTCACGCGCTCAAGCAGTGGCGACACTTCCTCCTTGGCCGAAGCCAATTCCGATGGGTAACGGACAACATTTCGTTGGTCTTTTACAAGACCCAAGACACCGTCAACAGCACCATCGCTCGATGGATGGCTTTCATCGACCAGTTCGACTTCTTTCCCGATCACATTCCGGGGAAGTCGAACCGTTTTGTGGATGCTCTTTCACGACGTCCGGATCATTGTACCGCGGTCTATTCAACCTTCGAGATCGACAACGACCCGCGGGACAGCTTCATCCGCGGCTACCAAGCCGACCCCGAGTTTGGCGACAAGTACGCGAATTGCTCCTCTCCTAATCCGGCGCCTTCTCACTACCGGATCCAAGAGGGGTACTCGCTTGTCCACACAGGGGGAAGGACCTTCTTTATGTACTGAGTGACCCTCACTTGCGTACACGGCTTCTTGGCAAGTTCCACGATGCTCCCGCCACCGGACACTTTGGAGTCAATCGCACGATTGGCCGACTTCGCGAGCGATTTTGGTGGTCCGGCCTTCTCGGCGACGTCACACGCTATTGCGAGTCATGCGAGCTTTGCCGATGCTGCAAATCCCGCAACCATCGTCCATACGGTGAGTTGCGACCATTACCGGTCCCCTTGCGGCGAAGGGAAGCGATTGTCATGGATATTACCGGCCCGTTCCCCAAACACAAGACCGGCGTGGATGGGATTCTCACGGTGGTCGACCGACTCACCAAGTTCACCATGTTTTTGCCTTGTCGCTATCATGCCAAGGCACCAGAGTTGGCTGAGGTTTTTTACGCCGGTTGGATTTGAACCAAGGGTTACCCCAAGGAAATCGTCGCGACCGTGACACTCGGTTCATGTCCGATTTTTGGTTGGCGCTCATCAAACGATGGGGCTCATCTCTCAAGCCCAGTTCAGCTCGCCACCCTCAGACCGATGGCCAGACGGAGAGGGCGCATCAGACCGCACAGGTTCTCGTTCGCACTCTCATGCGCCCCGACCAAAAGGATTGGGTTGAGCGGTTGCCGGATGTCGAGTTGGCCTACAACTCGTCCATCCACCCGACTATCGGGATGTCGCCCTTCGAGTTCGAGCACGGCTCGCCGGTCACTTCGTCGTTGGACACAATCATTCCATGAACGGCCGAGAGCGACGACCATCTTCTTTTCTTGCGTCAGATGCAAGAGCTACTTGTCAAGGCACGCGACCAGATGGCCAAGACGCAGCAACGCATGAGCCAACAGGCCAATCACTAGCGTCTTCCTTGCCCATTCCGTGCCGGCGATCTCGTTTGGGTTTCTGCCGCGGAATTCAGCCTTGAACAAGATATCTCTCGCAAGCTCCTCCCAAAATGGATGGGGCCCTGGCCGATCGTGGCACCCGTTGGGGATGCACCCGAGGGACCTTCCTTCACTGTTCAAGTGCCCGCCCACTTGCCCTTCTACCTAGTCTTTCATTGCTCCAAGTTGGCTCTTTACACGCAAGCGGAACATGACGATTTTCCCGAACGACGTTCGCAAGACCCCCCCTCTATGGACGGTTTTCAGGAGGTCAGCGACATCATCTCCCAGCGACGCTAAGGCAACAGGCCAACCGAGTACTTGGTACATTTTGCGTACTGCACTCACAAAGCTGACCGTTGGTTGACCCGTGCGGAACTCCAAGCAACAGCTCCGGATGTTCTCGCACGCTACGAACGCAAAATGCAAGGCATGCCGGTATCTTCGGCTCCACGTCGCACCTGCGTCCAGGTTCCCCCTTCAGATCGTCAGCTTCGCCCGCGACCCGGCTTGACTTCATAAGGAGGGGGGGGTGTTAGATGCTGTGCCTGCAATAGGCTGCACGGGCCATTTCCAAGCCCGTGACGTTTTCAGGCCAAAAGCCTGAAAACAAGGGCCTACAAGCCCCGTGTCGTTTCAGTCTGAAAGCCTGAAAACAAGGGCGTACAGGCCCTGTGTCGTTTCAGGCTAAATCAGGGCCTTTTCGGCCCTGAGTGTTTTCAGCCTGAAACTGAGGGCCATTTTCGGGCCCTCATCAGTTCGACCTGCCCTGAAACTCAGGCAACAAACCAGGGTTTTAGCACAGGCCATTTCGGGCCTGTTTTCAAGACAACCCCTGGTTGAGCTTCAACGCCAGGGTCTGGCACGTTTCGACATTGGCAAGAGCAGCCTCCTGGACGGGCCAGCACTATATAGGACTGGCCCGCCCTGCAGGCAGGCAGGTAGTTCCTAGGTACTTCCCAGGCACTTCACGTGCAGTTCAGAGGGCAGGAGGTAGTCTTCTGGATTCGGCAGCAGCACTCTGGAGAAGCGCTGCAGGAGTAGTAGTAGCGTTAGCAGTAGACTTCAGCGCTGGGCGCTAGTAGCGTTAGCTGTAGTCTTCAGCGCTGGGCGCCATAGCAGTTAGAGTAGTACTAGAGAGAGAGAGATTGGGCGGAGGCCAGAGGGACTTACCTGCAGCGCCATTACTTCAGCTTCGTCTTCGAGGTACCTGCAGCACAGCGCCATCTTCACAGGTCAGTACCTGGCACATGAGAGAGAGAGTTCTTCTTCTTCCTCTTCTCAGTCCACCATCTCCTTCTCACCCTCTCGCTATCTGACTTCAATGCATCATCAGACTACGAGGGAGAGAGAGAGAGCTTGGTGACATTTGGATCCAGACTCGACGTTGGACTTCAGACATTTTGAAGAGGGATTATTTGGGACTTGTAACAAGACTTGGTGTTCACGACTTTTCCATCTCCCCCTTCCTCGTCTTCGTCTGATCCCCTCCTCTTCGTCTGTGTATGTCTGGACCTGGCGCCTCCTTCCTGTGTATAGCGCCAGGCCCCTTCACACCCTGTGATGAGCATGATGTATGTTTGGTCTGCGTTGCAACATTGATTGGGCTAGTCATTGGTATTCTAGCATTCTGCTGCGCTGTCTTGCACTACGTGGTAGAGGTCAKTCCCGGTCAGGTCAGGACTTGTATCTAAAGTCTTCCCTGCAAAAAGCACCATTTTGTATGTATCGGAATGCACATTGCTTGTTGAGATTCCACTTGCACTGCATTGTCCATTCGGTCCTTTTTATCACATTGCGGATCCTCGGTTATTATGAACATCGCCCAACTGGGCATGTAACACTGGCTCTCCTCGACTACCGTCTTCATCCGCATCGAACGCCCGGTCAATTTGGCTGCATTTGGGGCAGCTTTCGGTCCAGATGCAGCAATAATGACCAGGCTTTCTATTCGGGTGAAGATGATAGTTTTTTTCAAAAAGTTTTTGAAATGCCTCCATTTGTCCTCTACAAGTGTTATTCTGTCTAGATGGACTTCTTTTTTTTTTTTTTTTTTAATAAGAAGAAGATTCAAAATTTTATTACACAAGCCAGGAAACGGGCCTGGTGTCCCTCACAATGCTGTGCAGCTCCTCCAGAGAGCAAGGCATCACCGGCCAAGCTTAAACCACCAGTACATGCCATACATGGGCCACAGGCCCCTTTCAAAGGCTTCCCGCCACTGATGTATTTCATTAACCTTGTTCGAGCCTCCGAAACTTAGGAGAGCCTCAATCGGATTCTCAAGTTGGCTGGGGCAATGAACTGGTGGTTTAAACCACCAGTACCTACTGCGTTTTTAGGCGTTAACATGAAGGCTGAATCGGTGCGCCGCGAAGGTCCATGTGCATTTGCGTAAGAGGGGGCCTAAGACCCCCTGGGGTACTGGTGGTTCAAAGGAGGTGGTGCTGCATTTACCAAACCAACCTGGACACAGAGTACTCTCCCCTATCCGACAGTTACCGCTTCCAACCTACTCAACGGTCTAAAAACTCCTTCGTGCCCAAAATACAAAAAGAAAGGAAAACTTAGAAAACTCTAACAGGTATGCAAACCAGCCATGTGTTTGGAGCTGGGTAGCACCACGTACGCGTACGTGTCCGAAAACCAGCATACGCATACGCGTTTTTTTTTTTTTTTTTTTTT